ACATGCGGGGATAAAAAGTAAGAATTTAATTCTTTGAATTTAGATTTTGAACATAAAAATATTTCAATATTGAAAATACTTTTAATTTTAAATATAATATAGGTAAAAGATAGTAATAAATCATATCGTTCATACACATTAAGTCAATGTTTCAGAATTATAAATCCTAGACAACACTGATTTAACAAAATAAAACGTAAATATCTGATTTATGAAAAAAAGGAGATATTTTAAAATCCTATATTGAAGAGTATATACTAAATATATTAAAATAATTTAAGAAATATAACACTTCTTTTATAAAAAGATAGATGAAGATAATATACATATTCTAATAATTTAGATAAAGATAAGATGAAACCATTTTTTTCATCTAGATAATTTTGTACAAATAACAGCAAATACCTGCATTGTGAGTCTGTATAATCGCGTTACCGTGTGTTACATGTCGGAGCATAGCCTATCCCATAGCATAAAGCGACGGTATGGAGAGGGCTGTTCTCCGCGTTTCTCTTTCCGCCGTCTTTCCTCTGTCCACGTTTCAGTGGGTGGAAGAGGAGAAGGAGGAGGAAAACGAGGAGGAGAAGGAGGAGAAGAAGGAGAAAGAGAAGAAGAAGAAGAAGAAGAACGAGAAGGAAAGCAGCAGCTGGGTGTATAGCTCCCCGCTAGATACGACACTGCGCGATTTTTTGACGACCGATGAAAGTTACTCGCGAGATATTCTATTTTAAACTTTCGGCCAACAGCAGCCGCCGTCGTCGTCGTTGCCGTTGCCCGCCTCCGCACTCGGCTTGCCTCTCCCTTCTCTCTTCCTCTTTCTTCTTCTCTCTATCCTCCTCTCGTCCTTCTGTTGCGCTCTCGCGAGACTTCCTACATCGTGATAATTCCTGAAAAGGAGGGAGCCATTTTGCGCGGTGTAGAGCGGCAACACGCCATGGACCTTCGCTTTGATTCTTGAACGTTACGCCGGGAGAAAGAGAGAAAGAGACCCTTTGTTATTGGCGGAGAAAAGCAATGGTTACAACGGCAATGATGGCGATGCCGAAACTGTTGTTTTTTCCGACCGACTGAATGATTTATCAGATCAGCAACGATTGGATTGAGGGGTGGGGGGGTCGAAATCGTGGTTGCAAACTGGTGAGCTTTATTATTAACCTCTCCCTCTTGTATTCTCCCTTCACTCTCTATTGCATTGTAATCGTTTGCGAACGTTTGATCGCGTTATAAAAAATCCAATACTTTTGTTCGCCGCAAAATACAATTCGCGAGGTCCGATAACATTTTCGATAACCGCTTTTAATTGCGCTCTGTTGTTTGACGCCAGTATTGTTTTGTCTGCAACATTGCCCTATGTTAATCAATAGAAAAAGCGGCGAGAATGTTAGGCGCATTTCGGAGAATGACCAATGCAACTCAGTTATGGTGCGAGTTGCTACACTCCCTTCTCCTCCACCTTTTCATCTTCCCCGTCCTCCTCTTCTGCAATCGATCGTGTATGTTGCACTCACGTTGCTGATCTCGAGAGTGCAGAGGAAACGAACTGTCTCACTACATTGTGCGAAATTTGCTGTTAATCCATCCGATATTCCAAACGGACATCAATCTTATGATGAATCGTGTTATATTATCATACACTTTTTGAGATTGTTGTACAAGGAACTGGTAAAATATTCTGAAAACAGCTAAAATATAGGAGAATATTTTTACTACTCTTTTTATCGTTTTACACTGAAAAAAATTTATTGAATCTTACATTTTTTTAAATACATTTTTTAAATTATACTACTAAATAAATAATTTTCTTACAATAAATGAAAATTTTCGTAGTAAAAAAAAATAGTTGAATCAAATTAATAATTCTTGCATCGCGCAAATAAATATTTAGAATTTATATTTAGAAAATATTTTAAAACTATTTAAGCAAACATTTATTAAAATTTATATATTTTTTTGCTGTAAGCAAAAATGAAAAAAAGGCAATGATAAAATTTGGAAGACACATGGCTGCAACAAATGAATACATTGTTATGCATTTGTGCACCGGAAATAAATCGATTTTCTTATATAATCAGAGTGCCGTTTTTTTATTTAGTTTCATCAGTATGCGCGCCGTTTGTAACGCAGAAAATAATTACGGTGATAAATTAATTAAAACGAACGCGAGGCGAATTCCATGTTCGCCGGGATCCGCACAGCGTTCGCAGGAAAAATATCAATCGATATCGTCCGCCGGCGAAAGGAACGCGCATTCGATATTCGCATATCCGATGCGAATTCCCAACGGGCATCGGCGCGGAGGTTGCCAAAAAATAAATTTTCAGCTGCCGCGCGCGCGGGATAAGCTCGCACACGCGCTCACGCGGATCCGTTGCGTCGGGGTCCCGCGGTGCCTTTTTCTTTTTTCATCGGCCACCCCCGCCGTTGCCCCGTCGTTCCCCCGGGCTACTCTCAACCGCCACCCCCGCAGTATCCCCCGTACCACCACCGTTACCGCCACTACCATTCGAAAGCACCACCCTGCGGGATGCGCGGCGCGCCGCGCCGGCCGCTTTTGTTTTCCTCTATTTTCCGGTTTTTCCGGGGTGGGCCGCGCCGGACACACGGCGGTGGCAGCA